ATTTGAAATTGCTAAGACTTAATTCTAAGTTCTAAAACAGTACTCTAACAACTGCAATCTAGTAAACATTTTTGATTTCTTAAAAGACAGGTGGCTAGAAAGAAAGCAGGATACAGATAGAAATTATTTCAAGATTTCAACAATAACTAAATAGAAACAGCCTACTTAGTAGATGAAACTTTAAAATGTTTTTCCACACAGGTGTAAAACACATGCTTTTAGAAAAGTGTGTGTATATATACACACATATATAATCATGTGACAAAACTGCAGGTAGAATACTTTGTTTGGTCAAACTAGAAATGTGAAAAACAGAAAAATATGTTAATCTCAATTGTGTTAATCATAAAAATTTTAGCCTCAGTAACTTGAATCCATGTGATACTGAAGAAGGGAAAGAACAAGAATTCAAACAGCTGACACAATGATCAGCAGCAACTGACAGCATCTCATATGATATTTGATATCAAGCACTAGATCAATATTTGTGAGATCAATGCAATTTTAATGGTTTTCTTTCAAAACTGTATGAAAGCCAAATTGTGACTCTCTGTGCTAGGGTTATTTTTAGAGCTGGTTATTCTAGGGGATGATATTAAATAATTTACTGAGGCAAAGCAAAAGCAAAAAAAAAAAAAAAATTAAAAACACTCACAAAACACCCCCCCCCCCCAAACCAAACCACCACAACAAGCCATTAATATTTGTTTTGGTTGATAAATCCTGATTATCTAAGTACCAGGAGAAGTTATAAACATTTATTTTTTAAAAAGAACATTTATAATTAAAAACAAAGAAAATAAACCTTTGGGAAAATGACTTGGAGGTACATAAAGATGAACTGGATCAGAGATACCTTTTTCAGACACAATGGGTTTAGGTGGCACTTGAGCCAAAAGAAATGAAAATGATAAAAAGAGAAAACCTATGCCTTTCAGCTACAGGGTCAATCCCTTCATGTGTGGAATTCAGGGGGAAATAACAGATTTCTCTGTATCCCAGGCAGAGTAGAAAACTGAGAGCCTTATTTTAAACTCACAGCCAGGTTTCCATAAAGGTCAAATAAAGGGGGGAAAAAAAGGAATTAGGTATACGTAGTGTCTATTACTTTCAAGAGTCTATATCTTAAAAAAAAACCAAAAAAACTGCAAATTAATCTAACTCAGAGGTATATAGGTCCTCCATCTGTAAATCTTTAAACAGTCATCTAGGATGGTTTTACTCTTTATTTTTGTCTTCATTGCTTAGACAGTAGCATTAATTCATTTGCTTACCAACTCATTTTGTTTGATATAAATGTAACCTTGTATTTATTTAATTAATTTATTTATTTTTACAGATTCAATTTTGAGGAATTTTCACCAAGAATTCAAGATCTTCCGTCCAAACAGTAATTTCTGGAGAGGCAATGATGGGGGTGGCCCAAGAGGGACTGTAACTAGGTGAACCTTTCAGTGAGGCAAGATGTGGGGACTGTGGAGAGTGTTCCTGAAAAGCAGATGTTTAAGTTTTTAGACTAAAAGAAAAAAAAAATCTTTCATTTATAGTTCAACTCTAATTAAAAACGTGGGAGAAACTGATTTCTTTTTCACCTGAAATATTTTAGAAAACTTCTGATACCTGACCTCTAAAGACTACTCATCCTTCTTCAAGAAAGAGAATAAAATATTTCAAAACTATACAATACTTAAACTCTTCCCCTCAATGCTTCTTTTTTTCTACCATTTTTCTTGATGACAGTATAATGCTTGGTAAAGAAAGTGTTAATATACAAACATCACTTCAAATAAAATGCACTTTTATTATATGCTTTTAGATGAAACACACACCTAAATCCTTGTGCAGCAGAATTAAATCATGCACCTAGTATATTCCTGAGCAGTTTAGGTAAAGTCATATTTTCCAGGATTTTAATAACTTCACAACAAACAGTCACTCTCTGCATGTGTCTCTGTGCTCCATTGTATTTCAAGTCTGGCAGATTGCCTACAAACTAAAGACACCAACAGTTTAAATTAGTTTTTCTTTAATGAAACAAAGCCATTTACACACAACTACACATTAGATACAAACAGAATCTACAGATGCAAATGAACTTGAGGCATTAAAATATTTATTCCAATGCCTTGCAGAATTTGAATATGAAAATTTTATTTAAAAGAAAATTAGTTTACAAACAATCCTGATGACCAACATATATTGAGTGCCCACTATGTTACAGGCGTGGAAAAGACAGTCTGTATATGTTGCCTATTTCTTGTGAAATGGGCATACGAACCTCATGGGTGACTATGTATATGTCTGTGGTATACACATAATATACATATATACATATTTTTCTATTAGGTCTTTAAAATAAACCTGAGTTATTTCAAAGAAGGAAATTAACTTTATATTCAATTGTAGTTAATTCAGACTTAATTTTGGCTAATGATAATTTGACCAATAATTTTTTTCTTTATAGCACTGAAGGCCAGTACTTGGAATTTAAAAGTTTAGTGTTCCCAAAATGCTGCTCTTCCTAAGCCACTTTGAAGTAATGCTAGTGAGTCTAAGATCCAGATCTACATGTTAATCTCTAGTTCTGCCTTCAAACAGAATTCAGTTACAAAGAACTTGGAAAGATTTTGAATCTATTCAGGAGAGGAAAACTCTTTAATTTTCTGAGGAGTAAAAACTCCCCAAGAAACTTCATATAGCTTCTTAGATTTTGCTTAGCATACGTGATAAAACATTGATTGTTGCAGTTTGGTGACCCATGAAATTTGGGGGTTAGTTTTCTCTTCAGACCAGAGCATATAATTATGCAAATAAAGAGCTGTCACTGATCTAGTGAAATACTCACAAACACATGCACTCTGAAATTGGACAGAAAAGTGAAAATGGCTGGTGATGTGATGGTGCCATGGTTTGTTTTCCTGCCAAGTTTCTATCCAAGTTCATTATTCAAATTGCAAACTTTAAAAGAGACATATCATTCTTAGGTTGCTGGTTGTCTTTTCATTTCGAATTCTTTGTATTGGTACTGCAGGCTGGCTACAAAGTACAGTTCAACATTATTTACCTATGACAGTCTCCCATGTTACCGGATGTAATAGCCAAGGAAGAAAAAGCTGGATGATCTGGGAAGAAAGATGCAGGGCCTCTCCTGATTTTTTTCTAGAAACATGTTTCCTATCTGTTTCAAATAGAACTAAACTCCAACAATATAAAACTATAGTGAAAGGTTTTTGACATAACTCAAGGGAAAGAATGGGAAAAGTTGCCTGGAAGGCCTCATGGATTAAGTCAAATTTCCATTTTCAAGCTTTTTACATTCAAGGGGAAAATACTGGTCACTGCGTGATATCCACTTAATGGTCAAACTTTGAGGACGATTTTCTCCTACCTAGCAATTAAAGCCCACTATATAATATTTGGTGACTTCAACCTTTATGGTTCATGTACAATGACCATTCCTCTAAAACCTTTGTGCTAAGAATTAACAAGACTTCTCCAATCTAACCACGCTCTTTGACATTGAGGTCTCCCAATCCCAAAGTTACCACTGCACAGGCTATTGCATAATTTCAGATGTCATGGAGAGTCCCACTGATGAAATCTGAGAAGGCTCATGTCAGACCACTGACTGCTGAAGACATCACTACATGAAAGATCAGTGGTGTGAAACTTTAAAAACATCGATCCAAATGAATCAATTAAATCAACATTCATCCTTCCTAAGTGTGAGGTTTAAAACTATCATTGTTGCTTTTTTTAAAACCCTACATAGATTTCAAGATAAGTGTTGGAATGCTTTGATGGCTACTTCTATTCTTGAATCTCCGTTAATCGACTTTGTGCTGTTTCCTTCTTTTCAACATCTTCCACTTGGTGTACATTCTTTACTTTTAGTACAGTGCATGACAGTTGCAATGCTTTAAATCTAAAACCGTCTAACAAAGCTGACGCTTTAGGTAGGGTAGCTTTAAGCTCTGTGAAGTGTTGATTAAAAACCCTTTCCCAGACTCAAACTGATCTTTTTGGAGATTAATAGAATATTAGATAAAAGGAAGACGAACAATTCAAGAGACTCCCACTCGGTCACTCTATACAAGGAAGGAAGGAAGGAAAGTATTCAATTTTTGAAAGGGAGTACCTCCTGGAGTCTTTTATTTTATATTATTACAGTCCCTAATAAGTAATCATAAAATAACCACCACTATTATCCCTCCCTTTTTTGGCCTCCCATATTTCAAAGATGAGAATGTCTCACATTTATTTAAAGACTTTTTTCTTTTCTCTACAGAGGCATTGGGAAAGTTTTGGAGAAATTTTTAGACTTTGTATAATAGTAATTTTTCTTAATGAATCAGGATTACAAATATAAAAATGAACCTGTCAATTTACAGTTACAAACTATGATTATGAGAGGTGACACACATGTGTTTGGATTGAAACTCCGGATAATCCAGAGAAACATGAAAAAAAAATTTAATTTATTAGCACTGATAATATAGTTTACATATTTTGTCACTCACACTCTCTCAAAGGAGTTACAGGGTTTAAATAAGGAAAAGCTGTAAAATAAGTGTAAACAAGGTATTTTCAGATTGTACTTCATAATACATCAGGGATTTATATAAAGATTTGGGAGTGATTTAATCCCACCAGACTCCTTTTGGAAAACAACAGTTGTTTACTGTATACTAAGGCATATTTTATAAAATGATAGTTTAACAACAGGTTCACATTTCCTTGTAGCTAAGGAGATATTTTAGACAATAAAAACAAATCTATTAAAAAAAATGGTAGCTCTGTGAAAGGTCCAAGCCAAATAATGACTCAGAGTTAGAATATTACTTTACAGCAACAATAATAGTAATAATAAGAAACTATAAGGTTTAAAATATTGAGGAATGGTATCTCATCATTCTTTTTAAGTTTCCACTTTTATTAGCATCTATACATGAATAAATGAACTTCTGAATAAGAATAACACACCGCTGCTTGTTGGGAAAATTGTTTTTATTTTAAAATGGTAAACAGAAATATATAATATACAGGAAACTCCTGCGTTTCACTTTTTAATTTTTTGGTATACACAATAATGTAATCCAGGTTGAAGTACAAGGCAGAAACTTGAGAAAAGATCAATTATTACATGTAGATTTTCTCTTCCCCCTTCAAATATCACAAAAACTTAATGGCTGCCTGGTTAGGTACCTTTAGAAGCTTACATCTGGCTTTTATGTTTTAACAGGATGATTCTGAATCTTAGATTTATCAACAACTCTTTGCTCCCCATTCCAGTTGCTCTAAGAACTGAGTGTATTATTAAAAAGAACCCCACATCCTAACTTTAAACCTCTACTGTCCTAAAAACCAGTCTAAAGAAGCCAAAATGGGGAGAAGATCAGGGCCAAAACATTAACACCTGTCGCCCTGAAGCAGGAAGGCTACTACCAACTGATCATTGTCACTCCAGGAAAATTGAGGTGAAGGATATTATTACCTTTATCCCAACAGACCCATAATCAACAGGTTAGAAAGTCCTACATTACAAAAAATCTTATCAGTCATCAGCTGGAGGTCTGGGACGGTTTGCCTAATTCTCTCCGGGTGGCTACTGTTCAGATCCACAAGTAGAAATTACATTTACACAACTTAAGTTTGCAAATAGCTCTATAGATAGTTAAATAAGGCCTAACAACCCAGTAGCTTAAACTATTAAAGGCAATTTAACACTGATTTACTAGTTAAAAGTAAAGGTTTTTAAAAAGAGAGGTGAGAAAGTCTAAGAAAGGAGTGATTTGGTTTATAAGCTGAGCATATTTACTTTGCTCTAATTCAGCTGCAGAAGCGTCACAAATTCAGCATTCCACAAGTGCTGATTAAAAAAAAAAAAGCAACAAAATTAGTTTCCTGTGAACGTTTTCATATTCTGAAAACACAACAAAATTTGTAACACTTTGAAAAATATATTCAATCTACATCAACTTTCAAATCCTCTCAATGGAAGTTACCTTTATTTTATACAGATCACCATTACTTCTAAAACAGAAAAGATTGCAGACCAATGGGCTTGACATTGTTGGGGTTACACATTTTAAGCTATCCAGAAGCTGGGTAATATGAAGTTTTGATTTTTCCTATATTGTTTCTGCTAAAATGACATGGAAAGTATATGCATATATGGCCATTGAAAAAAAGATCACTTTAATTTGCCATAATTAAAACTATAGGAACTAATTAATATACTTGTATACCAAACAAACATATTATCAGTTTTAAAACTTGCTGAAATTGGTTCATAATATAAAAACATTTTATCCATGAGGTGGTTATTTTGTTCTGAGGAGTCAGACAGTTCTAAGTCATTTTGGGTACATTTTATGTCCTCAAATAAGGCAGGCATATTGTTGCATATACTTTAAAAAAGTATGATTATTAAATTTAGATCCTCATCTATTAGAAACAGAATCCTCACTAGGTAATTAAATTCTTCAAGTAATTAAAAATGATGTATAATGTTTGAATGTAAAAGCCAGCAAAAATTTTAACTTATTTTACCTTTTATATTTCACAGTGTTGGCCAGATCTTAAGCTGGATTAAAATACTCAATAGTTGAAACCGTAGGGCAAAACCCTACAGAGGAAGTGGACTGCTAAAAATCGTCTCATTGGATTGAGAGGAGAAATCTTTCACATCAGGTTGTTCCCTTTCTGTTGGAGCAGAAAACTGAAAGAATCATTTTAAGTACACTTAGCCTTTCAGAAGGAAAGACTCCAGACTACACAGGTTCATTTTTCTGATGATGATTAAAAATTCTATCCGTAAAAGGGTCTAACTCTATAAAAGATTCCAACAGATCATTCTAGTTAGGATTAACGACAAAAACAAACTTTCTCCACATTAAGATTTAAAAAGCAAAACTTAAGTGTGCTATCTACATTACAATGCCACTCAATATAGATTATATATTTAAAAAGTAAAGTCAATTCTAATGATAAAGTTGGAAATTCCATTGAAAAGGGGGCCTTCACACGTATGCTTAAAAGATTTGTTCGTCATTATGTTTTGGTTTAAATAATCTCTCATGAAAATAGAGACTTGTGTTAAAAATGTCGTATTAAACTGGCAAGGATTTTCAGCGGTAATGTGCATTCGGTACTTCACAGATTTTTTATGCAAAGTTTTTCTTCTGGTCTGAAAATGAAAATAGATCGTTAGGGAGAGAACAATTTGAGCTCCCAAAACTACTTAGTACATCATGGCATTCATGTTCTGAATTTAAATTTGGCTTTTTTTGGGTGTGTGTGTGTGGGGGGAACTACCTTAAAAAAAGGCGCCCTCAGTGAAAAACCTACTGAACAGGGAAGTTTGAAGTCCAGAATAAAGTTTGCTTCTGTTGGAGAGGGAAAGAAGTGGACCTGACCAAGGGGGCCGGGCCGGGTGGGGAGCGGCTGCGCAGCAGCGGGCGGTAGGACCGCGCAGACGCCGCTCGCCCGCAGCCCGCGCGGCTCGGTCGGGCAATTAGAGGCGCGCCGGCCGTGCCGGGCAGGGCGCTGTCAGCCTTAATCTGAGCGCTGACTGGCAGCGCGAAGCCCGAGCTCGGCCCGCAGGAAGCACGACCAGTGAACCCATATTGCTTTGACAGTTGCACTCATCTAGAAATAATGCAAAACGCTATTTAGATGTATATATCACGACCCCGTGCTCTAGGAAGAAAACAATCTAATGAGGGGCTGGGAGGCTGCTCGCTGACAGCAGGCAGTTAGGAGCCGAGGGGATGCATGCTCGAGTGTGGGTCCTGGGCGTCCCCTCCCCCGTTTCGCTCTCCTCTTACAGCTCCTCGTGCTTGATTCTGTGCGAGCGCCGCGTCAGAGCCGGTTTAAGGGAACTGGTCTTGGCCTCAGAGGCTTCGGCGAAGAATTTGAAAATAGACGGGAAGCTCTTCCAGGAAGTGAGCTCGTGACGGTCAGTGCCTGCAAAAAAACCAGAGCCGGTTACAGGGGCCTCGGCCCGGGGCGATGTAGGGGGGTGGCGACTGCCAGGCCGAGCCCAGGCGCAGGCTGCGGGGCCTCTGCCCCTGGAGCCCGCCCGAGCCCCGCGGCCTCTGCAGACCGCACCTTTACGCGGTCCACTGTGGCCCCGGGGCTCGGAGCGAGCTGACGTCCAAATCCGTGTGTCCGCAGGTCGCCCGGGGCGGCGATCTGGAGACCTCCGCCACCTCCGACCTCAGCCCCATCCTACCCCCCCACCCCACAGGAGGAAAGTCCGGACATCCCCGCGGGTCGCCCGAGGCGCGGCCGGAGGCCCCGGGGCCTCAGCCCCTCTGGGCCAATCGAGGCGCGCGGCGGGAAGGGCCACTCCCTCTCCCGCTCGAAACCACCCACCTCCCCAGGCTCCGCGCGCGCAGGGATTGGTTTCCCCGGTGCGCGGAATCCAGCTTCAGCACCCACCCCAGAACACCCACGTTTATCTGCTTTCCAGGGGAAAAAATCAAATCGGATTTTCTTGCCTCTGCAGGAAGCGTGCTATTAGACAGGATTGCCTCGCCGAGGTCACTGAGACCAAATTGTACGGGGATGCTTAATGAAGGACCAAATGCAAAAGAGACTTTGCATGTAAGTGTCCCAGCAGGCTGCATTTTTAAAAACAGATTTTAGGGGGCAGTTTTTGAAAAGCTATGAAAAAAAAAATGTTTCAAAGCAATGACTACTACAAGAGCATCTAGACCTCCTATTTTGTCAGGAGACATTCAATTTAGAAAACGCAGGCTTATCACTCTGTGGTTTCAATTTAATGGTAATGTACATTATTTTTCAAGTCAAATCCACCTTCAGCTTAACAGGCAAAAAACATTGATGTAGACATAACAAATGCGGACATTAATCTGTTTTTGACTCCTTGTGATAGTTTATATCATTTTACCAGTAGACTCACAACTAAACAATTTTAAATTAAAAAATAAAAATAGTAATTACTAAGACTCTCATAGAAATAACGAGTGAGTAGATTTAAGACAGTTGAAATCTCTTCTTAGATCACTCAATTATGCAGAGCAATACTGCCTGGAAGTCTCCAGATTCAGAGCCTCTGTCTGATACTTTAACATTGTTAATGATAATTCTTTAGTCTGTAATAGTAGGTCATTGCTATGGTTACTCTACAATGGTGCAACACTTTGCTTTCCCCTTCAGCTATTCGCTGAGACCTGGTAACCACATTTGTTGCCTAGCAACAGTTTTGTGACAGTATCACAATCTCAGAGTTACAACAATAAGGATGGGATGGCTGCAGTCGACCAGAGAGCAGAAAGCTACAGTCTGTGCATATGACTTAGTTGTGGGAGCTGGCTCTACCAGAGAACCCCTCTCTTTATAGGTGCCCTCACAAGGATGCTCTCTATCCTCTTCTTTGCAGATCGGCCTTAAAAACCAGCATTTGAAACTAAGATCCAGTACTGAAGTCATATTCTTGAGAAATATCTTCCAACAGTACTATATTCTGACTAAAAAATGAGGTCATTTCTCTATTTTCTTACTCATTTCAGGCAAAATTCAATGTTATTCAATGGGAGAGAGAGATGAGTGGAGATTTATCCTGGCAAGTCCTAAAGTGACTGACTGGATTTTGACAAGTCTTAATATAATTCTTGTGGGAAGAAATTACACATATGCCTATCTGCATCAATAGGTGTGTAAATTTTCAAGTTCTTTAAAATATATGTAACATCCAGATACTTATTATAATTTTGAATTTGGAGGCATTTATATTCTCCAAACCCAAGTGAGCAGTTCTACACATGTTCAAACATATCAACTTTAAATAATATTTTGTGGATATATCTAGAAGGCGGCCCATTTTCTGGAAAGGTCTATGAAATGCCTGTCCCTATGTCTATAATGGTTGCAACTCTAGTTTCATTTCAACAATAACTACTAATTGTACTTATAATGATAAAATATTTAAAAATCAATCGTGTTTCTTCTTTTTGAAAGATTATTCTCAGATGCATACTTCATGGCAATCCCAAAACACAGTAAGAAAAAGAAAAGGTGTTATTTGTCTCTTTTTCTTCCTATTTCCCATGTTTCCAGGCTCATTTGGCATTCCCTCCACAGTGATCACACTTACACTTACTAGTGTTACCAAGACTATGATCAATTTGTGAGCTTTCTTAGGGAACTCTTCTCATAATTCCTCCTACCCCCCTGAAAATCAATTCAATTTTTGAATCTAGAGGGACCTAACGAGTCAATGGTCTGAAGCAATTTTAACTCCTTTATTTTTTTTTCTTCTCTGGTGACAATCTTTCTGAAGGATGAACAAATTTCCCTGGTGATAAAATCACTACAAAGGCTTTTTAGTTTTAGCTTATGATTACTCTCCGCTTGATTAGTCCTTGGTTGAAAAGACCAAAGTCCTCGAGATAACAAAGTATCTGCACTGGCTTTCAACATTTACCATTGCGATTTAAGAGTATAAATAATGAGAAGGTATACTCTGTCAGAGGAAGGAAAATTGCTAGGAATAAAGGTAATAAGCAAGGTGATTAGTAACTGAATGACAGAGAGTGACATGGGGGAGGAAGAAAACTCCCTAAACTAAGGAGTGGTAACATTAATATTTTCTAGAAAAATGACTTTCTTTGTACATTTTTGAAAGTAGATAAATAGCATTTGGAAGTTAGGCAATTGCATGTTCATCTGGTGCTACATATACACATTTCAAGAACATGTTTGGAAACCATTTTCAAAAAATTCAGGACCAAAGTTCAATTAAAATATTTACAAATTGCCCGGCCAGTGTGGCTCAGTGGTAGAGCATCAACCCATACACCAAGAGGTCACCAGTTCAATTCCCAGTCAGGGCACATGCCCAGGTGGTGGCCTGATCCCCAGTGGTAGGCGTGCAGGAGGTAGCCAATCGATGTCTCATCGATGTTTCTATCTCTCCCTCACCCTTCTTCTCTCTCTAAAAATTAATAAAGAAAAAAAATTTACAAATTAATATGAATATTTGCCCATAGCAATGCTTAGAGAATGGAAACTTTCAAGAGCAGCTTTCTAGTACTTGAAACATACAACACTTTAGAAGAAATTATTCCATCAGGAAAGAAACACTATGCCTGGCTGGTGTGGTTCAGTGGTTGAGCATCAATCCACATACCAAGAGGTTACTGGTTTGATTCCCAGTCAGGGCCATGCTCAGGTTGTGGGCCAAATCCCCAGTGGGGGCCATGCAGGAGGTGGCCTATCTGTGTTCTCTCTCATTGATGTTTCTCTCTCTCTTCCTCTCCATTCCTCTCTCTAAAACCAATAAAGAAAGAAAGAAAGAAAGAAAAAAAGAAAGAAAGAAAGAAAGAAAGAAAGAAAGAAAGAAAGAAAGAAAGAAAGACTAGGCCATTAAATTATCGATTCACAAAAGGATATAAAAGGGAAAGTTTAGGCCAACCAAAAAAGCAGCCATTTATTGATAAGCAGCAATGATGTGTAGGTAATATGGAACTAGTCCATTTAACATTACCCATGCTATCTGTAAGAGACAGACATGGTTTGATAGTCAGGGCCTGGTCTTTTCCTTTACCACAACTTTACCCTGATCAAAAATTCCTCTTTTTAGGGACTGTGAACTTCTTTCCACTTATCACACTACCATTTTCCTAATATAGAGAGGGTTCCCTCAATATAGGGAATAAAGGAGTTTCTCATATTAAATACCTGTCATGTTCTCAGGGAATTATTTTTTTAATCCTCTTGGACTGGAAGGATTGTTCTTACTGGATAAGTCACCTTTGGGGCATATTTAGTTTCCTAATCCATAAAATCAAATCCGTATTAAAATAAAATGTATAGGATCTTAATGCTTGATTACAAAGAAGTGCTGTTGCTCAGGCTCAATCAGTGGTTTTCAGTGGCATGATAGTGGCCTCTGGGCATTTTGGAAATCTGCAGGGATATTTTTGGTGGGCAGGATGACTGGAAGGAGCTATTAGCATTTACTGGGAGAAGGCCTGGGATGGTGGGCATCCTGCAGTTTGCAGGGCAGTACAGCCTTATGAATTGTTCTGCACCCTACATGCATTTTAAATATTCCACCAGCTATATATACATGTAGCTGAAAAACCTATTTATAATCAAATGGGTTTGGAATTTAGATCTGTTTAACAAATAATCTTGAAGTATTTTTGGCATGATTTTAACATATGTGAAATTTTCCAGGAATCCAACTATCATGTAAATTGAAGGATTCTGTACTTTATGTTGTTCAAAATATTACCAAAAGTGGTTTACCACACAAGAAAATCCCATCACTGATGGCAATTACTGCCCAATGCACTTGAGTTGCCAATAAACACAACTGTATCAGCTTGCCTTTGTAGCTGTAGAATTCATGGTGATTCTATGCATACGACCAAGTATTTAACTACTAGATTATGCCTTCTCATGTAGATTTTTCTGAGTACGTTAAATATTAATATGCATTTTTATTATATGTTGCTTTCCTTTTATTTTTTCTATATGTTTACTAGCACATTATAATAATTTAGCAACTGTATTAGTAGATGGGTTATGTTATCTCTAGATTTTATTTTAAGATAGTGAAAGCAATGAGTAACATCTGTTGTAATAGAATGTATTTAGATTATCAAGGGTCAGCTTAAATAAAAATAAATAGTTAATTCTTTTTTATTACATTAGAAATTAATTTTCCCTATGATCTGAACCCTATCCTAGCTCTCCCTTTTATGCTTATACAGACAAGAAAATGCCTTTTATTTCTCTTAATGTTTCTTCCAAAAATACTGTTTGACAGTGATGTTACTCATTGTGTAATAATCGAAAGGAAGGGAACAGGAGAACTTCCAATTAAAATATTACACTGAATATTTACTCTTTATTTATCACTTGTTTTAAAAAAATGAACTGTGGCAATTTCCAAAGCAGTCAAGATAGCACAAATGCAACATAATTAAAAATTTTAAGGATGAAGGATGAAGGTGAATCATATAAGATCAAATTGCTAAAGTGTTTCATTTGTTTTCCCAAAAGACTATGTATTTAAGAAAAAGTGTCTTATAATGGAACTGAGAAAAACGGGGACTACATTCATGTAATAGCATTTAGACATTAAGCAAAAATGGTTGGAAATAGCACCGAGAGGGGAATTCTCAAAGAATAGGCTAAGAGAGAAGCAAACATTGCTGTATCTTCTGTCTGGTCTATTCCCCTAACTTCTTCCTGTGATGACTTCAATCAAAGTGTTTCTTATAAGTCTGCTTTGTCCACACTTCTCTTCACTTGGTATTAGTACTCATCTTTTTATTTTTGGAGGGAGGGCAAAACCATGCTGAAATATGCCACTGAGTTAGTAGCCAAAATCCTGATGTGTTTACTCTGGCAGATGTAGACTACTCTGAAGTTGTACTCATTTCGTATAGTAAATGTCTTAAAAGGTTATATGTAAATATAATTTCTGTAAATAGAATATTTTAAAAGGAAGAAATAGGTTATTTACTTCTTCAATGAATCTTTTAATAAATTAAAGAATTCTTTGGGAAAGCAAACAATCATTTCTTAAGTGATATTACACACACACACACACACACACACACACACACGATTTGCTAGAGATGAGTACAATCTGATGGATAGTCTAAGTAAATTCTCACCAAAGAGATAATTTGGAAGAATTCCTTGGTCAGCCACGTACTATTCTAATTATTGCTAGTTACCTTATTTTTACATGGTTCTAGACCAAAAGGTCATGGAATAATTTCTATGATTTATGCATAATTCAAATTTTAGAGTATGGTTTAGAATAGGAAATATAATTGTTCACAAAATCAGCTCAATATAGAGTATCATTTTTATATCTTTGTTTTGGGGAGAAAAAGTAGCATGTGCCCCTACCCTTTCACTGACACCCCCGCCCCCGTCCCCTCACAACAAAAATATTAGTTTTTAAAGCAAAAGGTAGTGAATAAAATTTTTAAGTTTTCTATGATAAACGGCAAGAGGAAAAAAACCTAGAAAGATATGAAACATTAATATTAACAGGATAACATGTCTATGATATTTTCAAAATGACAACGCTTGATTTTAAAAATTGATCTTTAACAAGAAAAAGAAATATGGGCAATTAGGAAGTAATGAAGACCCTGTCAATACAGCTATGTTGATAATAACAAGTAAGGGAATTCTTGAGAAAATCTAATATATAAAAATCAGGAGGTCTGTAATATGCATTACTGAGTCCCAGTGGGATTAGCTAATGAACTTATGAGCTCACCAGCAGTTATTTTTAGAAAGTTATAAAGAATTAGAGAAATACCAGAGCACTGAAAAATAATGTGCCTTCTAAAAAGATATAAAATATAACTACTAAAATTCATTTAAAAATGAATTCTAGAGCTTCTCAGGAGAACCTCATTAAAAAATCCAAACTTACCAATATCTGAAAAGGGAAGTGTGTTTTCTAGGGACTCTCCAAGTTAAAAGGCATAAGTGTGGGACTCAGCCTCACTAGGTGGGGTGATAAAAGGAGCAGGGTGAGGTGTTCACTGAGACTGTGTGAGGGAAATAACAAGAGTGGCTCAGTAAACATGCCGCCTCGTTAAATTACTTGTGTAAGATACAGGCAAGTCCCTGTCCATTGCTGACACTGTTGCAAGCCCTTTGAAGCTGAAATTGTGTTGAGACCCTAAAGGCAAGTCATCAAGCTTGACCAGAGATAAGAGATAGGCTGAAACAAACACATAAAATCAGTGGTAGAAACTTTTGGGTCATTTGCAGCTTCTGGGGCAGCCTGTCCTTTCCTTCCCCTTCTTGTCTATATCTCTCATCTATGGAAGGGGGTAAAGGGAGAGGGAGGTATAGGGCACTGGGCTGCTTAAGACCCAGGGAGGCAATTCTGGGAAGTAAAAATATTCTTTTATTAAAAAATTATTTATCAATGTATAGTTGATATACAACATTAATTAGTTTCAGGTGTACAAAAGTAAACTTCTTCGGCAGAGTAGACAGCCTGCAGTGGTGTGGATCTATGACACTGAATCTGGCAGACCTCTCTAATAAACCATCTCCCAACCAATAAAAAATGGATACATTCTTATTGCTTCAGTGACCTATCTAACCCAGACAGTTGGTGTAGAAGTGCTTTCTTTGGTTTTAATTCTTATCTCACATAGTACTTACTGTTGCCACAAGGCCTGGCCTCCATGGAGATTGTTTCCCTTTAAAACTCAAGCCCAGGTGTGGGCAAAAGCTTCTTTTCCCAGTTTCAAAAGTAACTTTCACAAAGGATTGTAAGAGCACAGAGCACTAAACAAGGGAATGCAAAGAACCAAACAATAGTTATTCTCAAAAGTTCAGGTTTCTGATCTGACTATTCCCAACACAATCAGCAAAGAGCTAAACTGGGCCTCTTTCTAAAATAAAATGGTCAGAAAGGGCTGCTTGCTCCTAGGTAGGTGTCTATGGCTTATGGTTGCTAGTGTGTGTGTGTGTGTGTGTGTGTGTGAGAGAGAGAGAGAGAGAGAGATGAAATAGAGAATAAACTGCAAAATACTTTCCTTATTTCTAAACAAAACAAAACATTTAACTAGTTCAATCTAAACTTTCTGTTGTCCTCCTTTCTGAATTGTGGATTCTACTTTATATTTTGTAGGTAGACAATTTTTCCAGAGGTCCTGTGATTGGTTAACTTATACATTCATACATGTATTTATTGTATGCCAGGCACTATTTCTGGGGGCTGGAATGCAGTGGTGAGCACAATATATAATAGCTCTGCTCTGTAGCATACATGTTAGGAGGGATGACAGGCAGAGTCAGAAGCAGTGTAAAGAAAATGCAATAGGGGGATGTGAAGAGATAAGGAGGAGGAGGAGATGGGATGAGAGGTGGGTCTCAGGTCCTCGATTTAGACTGGATGGAGAAGAATTGTGACCGGAGTCCTGAATGGTAAGAAGGAGCCAGATGAAGGTCTCAAGGGATTGCTGCAGGCAGAAATTCAAAGAACAAAAACAGAGCTCAGCAGTGTGGCTCAGTGGTTGAGCACAGATCCATGCACCAAGAGGTTGCTGGTTCAATTCCCAGTCAGGGCACATGCCCAAGTTGTGGGCCCAATCCTCAGTGAAGGGCATGCAGGAGGCGGCCAATTGATGTTCTTTCTCATCGATGTTTCTACCTCTCTCTCCCTTTCCCTTCCTCTCTCTCTAAAAATCAATAAAGAAAAAAAATTCAAAGAACAAAGCAGGGGCTCTGAGGAGGGAAGAGCTTGTTACAGTGGAGAAATGGAAAAGTTGGAGTGACTGGAGTATGGTAGGAGAGGGGGAAAGTGGTAGAAGATGATTCAGAGAGGCGGGTAGCCTCCAAGCAATGTGTGGTCTCACAGGCCATAGTGAAAAGTTGAAATTTTATTCCAATTGCAATGGAAGGGCTGTTTGCAGAGTTTCAAGCATTTTAAAAAGTACACTGGTTGGCATGTGGTGAATGGATGTGGGCAGTTAGGATGATGGATTTAACTCTTCCAGATTGCCTTTACCAACTCCTCCTTACCTATACAGCATTCACCTTGGCTCACTCTTCTACACACTTTAGAATATAAATAAAATCTACTTACTGCTAGTTCACATAAATAAATTAATGAATGGTGCAGTAATAGTGATATTCAGTAAGAGTTGAGAGTCTGATAAAAACTATTTCATAGTGGATAAAAAAATGGAGTTGAACTAGAAACAGCATTTTCCTAAACAGTTCTGCTCATGTTCTATATGCTGATACTTGTGGTTTCGCAGCTCATAGAAGGACTATTGTGTCTGGTGGGAAGGTACTGGGACAGGGAACACACTGTTGCAGCATTCCATTTCTGCACGCAGCCCAGAGGTAACTAAATGGTGGGCTTATTTTCCAGGCAGGCTTTTCCACTGAGGTTTTCATTTCTATGAATGGACACAACATTCTCTTTACTCTAGCTCAAAGCCTCTTAGTCATCTTTGCCTTTTCTTCTCCCTTGTTAGCTGCCTCCCGATCCACTTTCTAAATTCTGACAATTACACCTCAGCAGTTTTTCAAATCTTTCTTCTTTTCTACCCCCACTGTTACCACTCTAGATTTGATGACCTGTCATTTAGAATCCAGAAACATCCTCCTAATTAATTTCATTACCTTCAATCTCTACTCCTCGATCGCGTACCCTACTACCAGATGAACAATTCTAAAGTATTATTTTGTCATATATCCCTTTCTCTGCTCAAAAATAGCCAATGGGGTGTTCCGCTGCACCACCTCCTTCTTTTCCGCCGGAACCTCCATCTTCCAGTAATTCGCCAAAATGAGAACACAAAGGGAAAAAGGAGAGGCACCCGTTATTGTTCTCTAGGCCTTTTAGAAAACATGGAGTTGTTCCTTTGGCTACATACATGCAAATCTATAAGAAAGGTGATATTGTGGACATAAAGGGAATGGGCACTGTTCAAAAAGGAATGCCCCACAAATGTTACCATGGCAAAACTGGAAGAGTCTACAATGTCACCCAGCATGCAGTGGGCATTGTTGTGAACAAACAAGTCAAGGGCAAGATTCTTGCCAAGAGAATTAATGTACGTATTGAGTATATTAAGCACTCTAAGAGCCGAGATAGCTTCCTGAAACGTGTGAAGGAAAATGATCAGAAAAAGAAGGAAGCCAAAGAGAAGGGGACCTGGGTTCAGCTGAAGCCTCAGCCTGCTCCACCCAAGAAGCACATTTTGTGAAAAGCAATGGAAAGGAGCTGGAGCTGCTGGAACCCATCCCCTATGAACTCATGGCATAAGTGTAAAAAGAAGACCTCTGTACTGATAAAAAATGTTTCTCTTAATTGGGTAGAAGTATGATGTCCCTTCCCCCCAAAAAATAATTAAAGAAAACTTGGTGTCCTAAAAAAAAAAAAAAGTCAATGGCCCTTAATCTATCAAATGAAGTAGAAATTCCTTACTTTGGTTTAAAGCTCTCCATTTTTATGGTTCCAGTCTTCTTTTCTGGACTTTTCCTTCCCCTCTTCTTCTTCTATACGTATCCCCTATTCTCCCGGGCCCAGCTCAATTGACATTGCTTAAACTTTTTCAAAATCTGAGAAACTGTGATTCTGAAGTCCAGCCAGAGAAGAGATTACCATTGTAAAGGTTTCGAAGGGTGGGATCAAACTTTGTTCATCTTCAACATAGACTGATAAAATATACCTTATGTTGAAGTGTACGCTAGCTTTTAGGTTAAGAAATAAATTATGTAACAAAAATAAAATAAAATAAATTCCTCTAAAATAATTATATAATAACAGTGGATACTCTGTAATTAAAGCTGAAGGAAGTAGAGTGTTTTTCTTGCCTCTCCAACAAACTGATGAGGGGGATCCACAGTCCATTAGCAATAAGTTGACAAACACTGAAAGTTATGTCTAGATCTCTGTAACTGTTAAAATGTAAATACAACTTCCTAGAATTAGAAGAGGTTTAGAAAAGTGTTAGAACTGAGAATTCTCAGAGAGTCAAACTTCAGCTGTTCAAGAGCTTGCCTTGTAGTCCCAAGATGGAGTTAGCTTGGTCCAAATTTAGGTGTAGATAGAAACATATCAAATATAAGATAGTGAAGATGTGGAAAGGACCCTAGATAAAATTTCATATGACAGTTTCATTGTAGAGATAAAATCTGAATTCAGAAAGGCTGTATTAGGGCAAAGTTACACAGATTTTGCTATAATATAGTCAATATTTACAAATCAGTTAAGCAATGGAAATGAAAATAATTTTCAGAAGATGAATATCTAATTGCTTTAAGATGCACTTCAATATTTACTTCATCTAATAAGCCACCTATACCTCACACCAACTACTCCCTTTTCTTCATGTTTCAGTATTTTGTATATGGTAGATTACCATATACTTACTTTGCTTAGCTAGTCATTTCTCTTATGGCAAATACCTTGCTTTATTTCCAAATTCTCCGGAGGGAAGGTCCCAAAACATTTTACTTCAGAAATCACAGTTGAAGCTTAATAGATGTTTGTTGTATGAACAACTGTCTGGAACAGAATTCACCAGAAAACTGATGCTTATTAAATGCTATTAAAAATATAACAAAACATAGAATCATAGATACTCTCTATGGTTTTTACACTATTTTGTGAAGATTCCCATTTTGAAATTAAGGAAATGGAGGCATAAAGAAGATCATGACAGTAAAAACTTTGGAATTTACAAAGCAAAATGCTTTTGGTATTCTAAATACATGGATGAATCATTACATAAACTTTTGAATCCAAAGCATCATTTTGTATTGCTTTGTCAGGCTTTCAAAATCACAGCTCTTTGCTTTCTTGCCAACAGAAAGAAGGAAGTGGAGAAACGAGGAGGTTGTAAAGTAGCCATTATAGATTATTCCAGTCACTTAATGATTAAAAATTGTACTAAACCTTCTGGGACAATTTTGGGAGAACTGATATATTTACAATATTGGATCTTCTAGTCAATGAACATGCTATATCTTGCCATTTATTTAGATAATCTTTGATGTCTCTTAATAAAGTTTTGTCATTTTTTTCCATATAAGACTTGTACTTTATTTTTAGATGCATTAATTCATATTACATTTTAAAATTTTGAGATAATTGTGGATTATATACAGTTGTAAGACATAACACAGATTGTTCCTGTGTCACTTTTGTAATTTTCCCCAACAGTAACACTTTGTAAAAATCATAGTAATATTACATCCAGGTTGGTGATAATGCTACAGAATGTCCATCACCACAAAGATCACTCACGTTGCCTTTTTTTTTTTTATCCTCATTTGAGACATTTTTCCATTTTTTTGTTCAGATAGAGTGGGAGGGAGAGAGAGGAAGAGAGAGACAGAGAGAGAGAGAAACATCGACGTGAAAGGGACACACCGAGTGGCTGCGACCCACACAACCAACCAGGGCCGGGGACAAACTGCAACTGAGGTACACACCCTTAGCGGGAACCGAACCCGGGTCTCTCTGGACCACAGGCTGACGCTCTAACCGCTGAGCCAAACTGGCCGGGACTAATTTTGAATTTTCTATGTAAACAATCATATGTGAGCATGAGCAATTTCAGTTTTGCTTTTTTCTAATTCTTATAACTTTAATTTCTTCTACTCATAAATTTAAGAAAACCTTATAAACAAAATAGTCTCAAATGTACTACTATTAACTAATGAAATGAATAAAATATCACATAAAGCAAATTATTATGAATAATATAAAACTGGCATAAGATTACATTGTCCATTTTGATACCTTTTTTGATGATGCACTAAAAAAGACCTAGCTCTGGCAGGTAATAGCATCTAGCTGCTGACTCCTGGTCCTGAAGGCTCCCTGCCACCTGATGATGGACAATGATGGCTTCTGGAGAGTCAGTTATGCTCCTAGAACTGTGGTTTCTTTTCATCCTAGTAATGTAGAAAGAGACTATCTTTGTTATCGTCAACCCCCAAGTCTGTAGCTGCCCTCATGCTCTCTGGTACTACTTTAATTTTATTCCCAGATCTCTCCCCCAAAGCATTTCCTCTCTGAATGTACTTTAAAAAAACATCCCATAATGCAACTGCCTCCTATATGGCAAGAATCCTTCAAGGATCCTGAACTTATTCACACACACCATTAATACATATAAAATAACATCTTCAAGATAAAATGAACTGATTTTAAATTAATACATATATTCATGAACACGTCATATAAACGTAGTAAATTCCTACTATTGACTAATTTAGAAAATGACAATGAAAACATACTAAATAGGACTGATTACTTTAATAACATAATATTTCAGAGTATCAGGACAGAGAAAACTCATAAGCATTTAAATTAACATTAAATTCCAGTAAGGACTGATTTATGATAAATATTGGACAGAACCAGACATAGCCAAGCAATTACTAGAAAATAAAAATTATTTATAGTTAATTATCCTTACTGTGTCCACATTGAACTTCACTCTAAAAAGACACTTCAAATCTCTAATTGAGCTTTCCATATGGGCTTTTCTGTAACTGTCCAGAAGATGCACAGGCTGAAATTCTTCATTATTGTCAAGGAATTAAATTTATTTCTGTGTTTGTAAATATTTGCAGTCGTGGGGTTTGAGATATTGTAATAGATGTAAAGTATATTTTACACATTACAAAATTTGGCAAGTACATATTATTTGCACTGTTTTGCTTTGTATACTGGCTTTAAGCAACATTTTAAATTTAATTATAGGGCCATAAAAGTCTTTTTCCCCCAAGTGTTTTAAAATCAGAATCAGATTTATTACTTGGATCTTATTAAAGTAACAATGGATGGGAATTATTCCCAAACAATCTCAAATATATCATTGGTTATCACTATAGGTGGATGGCATCTATTAGGTGGAGGATTAATCTGTACTGTAAAAAAGATGTTGGTTATTGAAAATAAGATGTCTTCCGTTGGTCAGATTTCAATGCTTTTGAGCCCCAAATTTATAGCTATCAGTACAAACATGGATTGTGAAAAACTTTCCTAAGAGAATCTGTAATTTTAGGAAAATCTATAGTATCTAGATAAAAGTACTTTATAATATAATAAAAAATGCTGTAACTCATTCACTAGAAAAAAATTACAAATTATGAAAAAGGGGGTCTACAATTATACACTTCTGTAACCATTTATAGTGAAAATTTTAACATCATAGTAAGAATAGAGTAGTAGAGTTACTTTTGTTTATTTAATAGTTATTTATTCAACTCCTTTATTGAAAGAAGCATGAGATGACATACATATACATTATTGTAGAATAAAAGAAAAAGGGGTAAAGAATAAAAGGAGTGGAGAAATAGGATAAAAGCAGGGATAAGGTAAGAGCAGTACATAAGGATTAATAAAACAAAGACCCATACAATTGCCAGATTATGGCTGAACATTTGGCTGAGCTTCCTATTGAGAAATGCAAAGAGGGTAATACAATATTATGTCACTGCATCTAGGTGATAAAAGCAAACCAGTTGTGGAGAACAGCTGCTTTTTATGCTTGTATCCTTAGTGTGAACTTATGACACGACACTACAGAGCAACTTGGGAGAAATAAAGATAATGCGTTTCAGGTGAGCTGATAAGTCTGTGATAGTGGGGCTTACTCAAGATATAAAATTTAGTACATATAAAGGAATGGATGGACTGTATCTCCTTTACACAATTGTATTTCTAAAGATAATTGTATTATTTTTATTTCTGCCCAATAAGAATCGAGCAACAGAAAGTCTGAGGTTACACTCTCTGGCAAGAACTTGGGTGAGAGATTATTTTTGTGATTTTGGGGTCATCAATATGCTTTAATATCCACTCAGATTATGAAGGCTAATAGGGTATGTGCCAAAATAGATAGCTCTTCTATATACAAAAAGGTGGGGCAGGAGGAGGCTAAGGGAGTGCCTGGGAGGAGGAGGGGCCAAGATGAAAAAAAAAAAATAAAGTGTTGACTTTATTCTAATATATGAATAAATAGATTACTCACATTGGTCGGCCAGTCTAGGTATAATACTGTAGCCACAAATCATTATCAATAAACAGCCCAGAGTGATACTATTATAATTTAACCTAGTTATTAATTAAAAGGAAAGGAGCAAAGGGAAAGCCAAATAGTACAGGCATGCTATTTGTGCAGCTTTGCCAGGAAGCTGCAGTCTAGAGGCATGTCCAGTCAAGTCTGGGTGATACAGGGAAGGTTCTTGTCTATCAGTCACACCTGGGAAGGGTCACTGACCAGAGTAGGCATGGCCACTGCAAGCACAGGAAGATTTAAGATATTTAATCTCCTAAACAAAGGCGTTTGCTTCTCTTGGTTCACACAGGGCTCTTGGGACTCTTGTTGCAGGGGTGCGCTCTCTTGGCTCCCCTGCATTCTTCCACGTGGCCCACAGCCATTCTCCCACATGGTCCCACACACAATGGACAAATGGATTGCAACTAAACTAATGCTGTACCGGACCCAGCCCCACTAAGGAAAGGAAACTTTGGAGCCTGGCTTTGTTTCTAGCTCTACTGAATGCCCAACTGCACATCTTCCAGGACTGGATTAAGGGAAATAGGACTTTGTAAACCCAAGGATGGAATTCCACGCAAATAACAATCAACAGGTCATTTCCTAAACATGAGGTTTCTGTGTAACCATTCCCAACCAGTATTTTTCAAAAGAAGAACAATTTTCTCAATCATAACACAATAAGTTTGCTGTAGATGTTAACATGGAAAGCAACATTTCCACTTTTAAAACAAAATTTTTTTTTCCTTTATTGATTTTAGAGAGAGAGGAAGGGAGAGAAAGAGAGAGAGAGAAACATTGATGGGAGAGAAAATCGACTGGTCACCTCCTTCATGCCCCCCACTGGGGATCGGGCCCACAACCTGGGCATGTGTCCTGACCGGGAATTGAACTGGTGACCTATTGATGTATGGGTCGACGCTCAACCACTGAGCCACACCGGCCAGACCATTTTTTATATAACTTACATCTCTTCCTGATGTGAAAGAATAGCCAAAAGGATAAGGGGCAGCACAGGCCTCTGTGAAATAAAAATCTTGTCTCTTATCTTTAAAATAAAATGTTAAAAAATCTGGAATGATGCAACCGGAAGACACTGAAATGTAGTTTCTACAATAATTATTAGAGAATATTTTTAAAAATTTTGGGAATGATTTTTTTTCTTGAATTTTAAACTTCTATTTTATATATGCAGGACACATATTTACTCTATAATTAATAATACTTCACACTTTATTTCAGAATATAATGGTTCAAGTTGTATGGAAATACTTATTTGAAAATATGCTAACAAAATGAACCCAGAAATATTAAATTAAAAAATAAAATTCATTTTACAAACAACTTCAGTCCAGTCGGTGTGGCTCAGTGGTTGAGTATCGACCCATGCACCAAGAGGTCACCGGTTCGATTCCTGGTCAGGACACATGCCCAGGTTGTGGGCCCGATCCCCCGTGGGGGTCATGCAGGAGGTGGCCAATCGATGTTCTCTCTTATCTCTCTCTCTCCCCCTCTCTAAAAATAATAAAAAATTAAAATAACTTCAGCCTGGTTGGTGAGGCTCAGTGGATTGAGCACTGTCCCATGGACTGAGAGGTCCTGGTTCAATTCCTGGTCAGGGCACATACCCGGGTTTCAGGCTCAATCCCTGGTGGAGGCTGTGCAGGAGGCAGCTGATCAATGTTTCTCTCACATCAATGTTTTTATCTCTCTCTCTCTCCCTTCCACTAAACACACACACACACACACACACACACACACACACACACACACACAACTTCAAAGTTACCAAAAAGTTGCAAGAATAATACAGTTAACTCCTGATTATCAAAGTCAGAAGATTTACACTGATAGGTACTTTTTACTCTCCCATTTGCATGCCAGTGTTGCCTCTTGTACTTACAGCATTTTTACTCTCTAGTAGAAAGTCCAGTCCCAGATCATATATTGAAAACTATTAAATTTTAACAGTTATTTCCATTTATATTCATCCATTTATATAGATGTTTAAAAAATAGTTTTATTTGGTATCTTCTAGAATAGCATTGCCTTTGGTTTCGATTTGAAACTTTGGAATGATATTAAGTATATCACTAAGTTTTATGACATCTTAGGACAAACAAAGAATATGATTAAAATATCCCTGGCAAAGGTTGTATCCCTACCACTGAATCACAAATACCTATTTGACTCTCTTTTGTAAGAAATCTTGCGATCCAGGAAAGAAGGACATTCCTGGCCTTCTTGCAATGTGTGCCTTCCTGCCACTTTACTGTTAGCCCTTTGAGGGTTATTCGAAGTAAAGTTAAAATCAGTAAAATTTTTGTTTGCTAGAAGTTCTAGTAAAAGATTTGATGGAGAGAGGATTAAAATCAGTGATTAAAGTGAGGTTTCTAAAATATTTGAGGCTTATGTTTAACTATGATAATTTTCTTCCATACCCATTAGAAAATGTAGAATTAACTGCAGACACTGTTGCTGATGGCTTAGAAATAGTTTACACAGCTGAACTGAGGGACTTAAAATTTAAGGTCTATTTCTGGCTACTCTATCAATATGATTAAAATTCTGGATATACCATTTAACTTTAATTTGTCCCACTTCTCTATTCCTAAAAGCAGGAAAAAGTAAAAAAGCAGATTATTGTTTACCATGTAGATATACTACTGGGATTTTAGACAGTTAACCTAGTGAAATCATAACATGAAATGTGTCAAAGAAGAACAAGCACTTCTTATTATAAAGAGTCACCATGAATAAACTATTGGCTTAGGAGAGCAAAGAAAGAACTTTACTTTTCAGCCTATGTTTTGGTAGAAAAAAGTAGAAAACATAGATAAATAGAAAGAAAAATGGTAATAACTAATAATCCTAAAATTCAGAAATGACTTAAAATATATAATTTAGGATATTTTTTTCTGAAGATATTTAAAACTGCATAAGCATACACTTCATGTTGTTTTGTTTATAAAAATAAATGTATTTTAATGTCTG